CAATGTTCTTCCGACGTCTGATTTCTTTTTAAAAAATGCGTTTCTAAAGTGCCTAAACTTTTGGGATTGACTATATAGCTAATACATCCTTAAGAAAATATCCCAGACTTGATTGAGGTATTAAAATGAAACAGAAACGTCTCTTATTATAGCATTCAACAAAATTAAATAAACAATTTCGTCATCCGTGAATACGACCGTTTCGCCTCGCACCTTTAAGTTTTAACTTGATTGTGCGGAAACGTGTACGTACAAAGTTATGCACGAAATACTGTTCGTACATAAATTCATATATACGAGTGTATCATCGATTGACGCTTGGTTTACGTATATGTATATTCACGTTTCGTGGGAATAGAAACATGTACAGAGAGAATCAAAAGTGAGTGAGTAAATTGAAAATACTGAATTATGAAAGAAATTCATATTATTGTCACTAATATGGAGAAACGGAAATTATTATTACAAACGATTAATTCGGTTCTTTGATCTTGTTGCAAAGTATAAGAAATTTAACAATAAATAAGTTGGCTTTGTTAAATCATATGAATTTGATTGCAAGAGAACATTGAAAATATAGTCATTCTTGATTTCACACGAATATTCGATCACACGTCTCTTAGTTTGCTTCTCACTTTTGATTCCCGCTGTATGTCCACGGACAGTTGTCTGCACGTGAGGGTGGTTCCCGACCTGACAGGGGGTTCATTCTATATTTTATGGCGGCCAACCCCCCGTCGTGGGATGCTACTAGCCGGTATACCCATTGGCGATAAGGTGATAAGCTCAAATGTATTGGCTCCCATCAAATCGTGCGCTTTACTGCTATAGCCAACCCCATAAACGCCGCTCACCCTTTCCACAGATCGCTGTATCGCGCCGCGTTTACACGTGGAAAAATAATATATTTGTCGTCGAATCAAGCCATAAAAATTACCCTAATTTTCGTGTTCTGTTTTTTAATTATTCCAACTAGTTCTGGCGTATTATTTTTGATCAAAAAAATTGGAAGAAAATGAGGATGAGATGAAAAGTAATCAATAAAACGGAAGTTAATATTTGATTTCATATGAACTATGACCTACATGTGGTAGTATAAGGGGTTGGAAACGTTATAGTTTCATGATAAATCTCGAAATTTATATGACTTAAGTGCTATAGTGAAGTGTGTTATCTTCCTCGTTGTATATATGGATGTGTTTAAGAGATCGCTATGGTTTCACCAAACATTGTTCGGTATTAAAAGGCGTTCACGTAATGTTCTCGCGGTAGGGTGAGCGCCGACTAACGAGTTTTCCCTGAAAGATTCATTGCTTCGATGGCGGATAACGCACAGAAAATTGAACTCTAGCCGCAAGAAGGAGAACGCGGCCGGGCGATAAAATTGCAAATAAATTACGCTAGAATTTCCATCATCGAAGAGGATAGGGAGGCGTGGTCGGGAGATAGAGAGAGAGAGATAGAGTGAACAAGCGGGAAATGCGGGGCCTCGGACTTTTCTGGCAAAGATAGAAAGGACCGTACCGCGGAGAGGAGATAAAAAGACGAGGGAAAGAGATAAGGCTTGTGTCTCTCGGTACTCGCCTTGGAGCCGAGGTACGCGAGAAGCCGGCTCGAGAGCCAATAATAAGTAAGCCAGCCGCTCGTTAGGGGTTGGTTAAAAATACGAAAGAGCCGGTCCTCCTTTTTTCCTCCGCGTCCTCTTCTCTCGGCTTCTCTTCCTTACTTTTAGGGCTCGCGAGGATGAACCCGAGAAGGGTTGGCAGAGCTCCGCGGAAAATAATGGCTGCCCGTAATCGACGGCTCTTTTTTAGCCTGGTTAAGGCTCAAGGACGAACTCACACCTTCGCCCTCGTTTGTAGCCGTGGCTCGTTGAATGCTTGCCCTCGTAAATAGCCCACTTAATCGAACTTACCGCGCCGGAAACTTTAGCACGAAATCAGTGATTCACGGTAGAATGTCGACGGGATTTACTCACATTCAATGTAGTGGTGGTTAAGCATTAATACGTTGGAAAACACTTTTATTAAAAATCGCTTTTTAACTAGACGTGGGAAAAATAGTCTACGGTTGACCGTAAAAAGACCAATGAGAAACTTTAATCTTAATTGAAAACAGGACAATTAATCTTGTTTCAAAAGGAAAAAGTCAGTTTTTCATTTAAAAAATAGAAAAATTAATCTTCCATTGAAGAGCAGAAATTAGTCGCTGGAAATAACGTGGAAAATAAGAGAACCGACTTTCAATTAATTATAATGATTATAATTACAATTGTGTAATTACATTCATTCCGAAGTTCTCAATGGACGAAGATTCCACCGCGATCAAGTAAACGGATTAAGGGAAGGACAATCGCGACAATGGGATTTGATCTCGCAAAAGAGATGCGGATTCGCGCCAAAGTACGATTGATCACGTATTAGCCTGTCGTTCCTTTAATCTTCTCGTTAAAGGCAGAAGCACGCCCTTTCGCCCTCTATTTGCGAAGTTCCTGCTTGGTATCTTGGCTGTGACTTAAAGTGGCCGTAATTAAAAATGTCCGTTCGGAAGGGTGCCGAGGGAGGGACGGAGGGACTGGAGGTCAGATTAAAGAGATGACCCGAAATGCAAACAATGGAGGAGGCCTCGAATATTTCCCCTTTGTTATTCCATTTTTTTCCACCCCCGCTTCTCTACTCCTTCATCTTTTTTTCAAGCCTCTTTTCTCCTTTCTTCGTCTTTTTTCGTTCCCTCTTTCATCGACGTTCCGTGGCCCAGTTCGACGGATCGCGACTTGCGGGTTCGATTATTCCGAGCGCGAACGCTTGCTGAAGTTAGAGCTTGCGGTAAAATCTGATCTCTTTACTCGGTGGCTTTAAATTACCTTCATTAAGTGCTCGCGCGGTTTTTATACGCGCGAATGCCTGAGAAAGTCATTAACTTTGGTATTGAGTTCCTGGTACGGATTAGCTTTCATCGGCGGCCCTTAAAAGAAGAATTGATTGTTAATAAAAATCTGTCTTTTCTTCTACCCTCTTCATCTATTCTTTTAATCACTTGTCCTTTCTGTTTCGCCGACGTTTCTCTGCTTTACAAACATGGTTACATAATTATCGTCTTAGCGACTTGTCAGAAGAATTTAATTATATTGCGTTCAAAAGAATTTATCGTCGTTTCGTAAAAAACGTAAAAATTTCGATCGAACCACGTTTGCCCCTCTGCTAGTGGCGGTTTCCGTAACTGACAGTCGTTCTCAGCCAGAAACACGCTGCCGGATCGGGCGTTGGAGAGTAATTCTT